AGTGACACAATGCGATATTACTTGAATGGTCAGATCAAGTGTGAAATGTGTGCTTCACAGGAGCTCCATGTGTAACATCAACAGACAAATATCAAGACACAACACATGAGAAACAAACATTTAACATAACAGCAGGATCAGTGAGAGAACAGCTGCTCAAAGAGCCTTCAGCGTGCTTTAGATCTGGATTCAGCTCTGTGTTTACTGAGAGGATCGACTGGAGCACAAAGGATGCTTCAGTCTGACTTTATTGAATCTCCATTAGATGGTAGCAGTTCATATGCTCCGTTCAGAACATACAGACGTTGACTTTTCTCACCTTCACAGCGACAGGAGTCCCGTCGAACAGCTCCGCTCTGTGGACCTGCGCCAGGCTGGCAGCCGCGATGGGTTCAGGGTCAAAAGATTTGAAAATCTGATCCGGGGTTTTACTGAAGTCTTCTTGAAAGAGAGCGTCCACCTGTTGCAGAGAAATCAGCCTTTCAGAACAACAGCAAGAAGCAAAGCCTACTCAGATCTTGTACTTCTAAAAGTACTAAAGAAAACTGACTAAACTTCTTTACTCAAGTCAAAGTAAAGAGGCTTTGAAATGTACTTCAGTAAAAAGTACCCATAACTAGCAGCTGTTTTAAAGAGTACCTGACCTCCCTTTATATTAATAGAACAATAATGTCATTGTTAGCTAATGAATGTTTCCATGCTGAACAACGGCAACATGACAACGTTTCCATTGGTCCCTCTTCTTTAGAGAAGACCAGGAAATGATGGATACACGGATCGTGTTCAAATCAATAGGCACGCAATGACTCTAAAGAATAATGATCACGCATCAAACACACATTCAGACTAAAGGAACCAGCTGTTTGGAGAATGAGAGAAGTAGAAAGTACAGGTATTTGAGTTCAACATGTAAGGAAGTAGGAAAGTACAGGTATTTGAGTTCAACATGTAAGAAGTAGAAAGTACAGGTATTTGAGTTCAACAGTAAGAAGTAGAAAGTACAGGTATTTGGGTTCAACATGTAAGAAGTAGAAGTACAGGTATTTGGGTTCAACATGTAAGAGAGTAGAAAGTACAGGTATTTGTGTTTCAACATGAAGAAGTAGAAAGTACAGGTATTTGGGTTCAACATGTAAGAAGTAGAAAGTTACAGGTATTTGGTGTTCAACATGTAAGAAGTAAGAAAGTACAGGGTATTTGGGTTCAACATGTAAGAAGTAGAAAGTACAGGTATTGGGTTCAACATGTAAGAAGTAGAAAGTACAGGATTGTGTTCAACACTGTAAGAAGTAGAAAGTACAGGTATTTGGGTTCAACATGTAAGAAGTAGAAAGTACAGGTATTTGGTTCAACATGTAAGAAGTAGAAAGTACAGGTATTGAGTTCAACACTGTTAAGAAGTAGGAAAGTTCATAGGTCTCTTGAGTTCAAACAGTAAGAAGTAGAAAGTACAGGTATTTGAGTTCAACATGTAAGAAGTAGAAAGTACAGGTATTTGCGTTCAACATGTAAGAAGTCAGAAAGTACAGGTATTTGAGTTCAAATGTAAGAAGTAGAAAGTACAGGTATTTGTGTTCAACATGTAAGAAGTAGAAAGTACAGGTATTTGTGTTCAACATGTGAGAAGTAGAAAGTACAGGTTATTGTGTTCAACATGTGAGAAGTAGAAAGTACAGGTATTTGTGTATCAACATGTAAGAAGTAGAAAGTACAGGTATTGGTTCAACATGTGAGAAGTAGAAGTCACAGGTATTTGTGTTTCAAACATGTAAGAAGTAGAAAGTACAGGTATTGTGTTCAACATGTGAGAAGTAGAAAAGTACAGGTATTTGTGTTCAACATGTAAGAAGTAGAAAGTACAGGTATTTGTGTTCAACATGTAAGAAGTAGAAAGTACAGGTATTGGGTTCAACATGGAGAAGTAGAAAGTACAGGTATTTGTGTTCAAATGTAAGAAGTAGAAGAAAGTACAGGTATTTGGGTTCAACATGTGAGAAGTAGAAAGTACAAGGTATTTTGTGTTCAACATGTAAGGAAGTAGAAAGTACAGGTATTTGTGTTCAACATGTAAGAAGTAGAAAGTACAGGTATTGGGGTTCAACATGTGAGAAGTAGAAAGTACAGGTATTTGTGTTCAACATGTAAGAAGTAGAAAAGTACAGGTTATTTGAGTTCAACATGTGAGAAGTAGAAAGTACAGGTTATTTGAGTTCAACATGTAAGAAGTAGAACGTACAGGTATTTGGGTTCAACATGTGAGAAGTAGAAAAGTACAGGTATTTGTGTTCAACATGTAAGAAGTAGTAAAGTACAGGTATTTGTGTTCAACATGTAGAAGTAGAAGTACAGGTATTTGGGTTTCAACATGTGAGAAGTAGAAAGTACAGGTATTTGTGTTCAACATGTAAGAAGTAGAAAGTACAGGTATTTGAGCTTCAACATGTGAGAAGTAGAAAGTACAGGTATTTGAGTTCAACTGTAAGAAGTAGAAAGTTAACAGGTATTTGAGTTCAACATGTGAGAAGTAGAAAGTACAGGTATTTGGGTTCAACATGTGAGAAGTAGAAAGTACAGGTATTTGTGTTCAACATGTAAAGAAGTAGAAAGTACAGGTATTTGAGTTCAACATGTAAGAAGTAGAAAGTACGGTATTTGAGTTCAACATGCTAAAGAAGTAGAAAGTACAGGTATTTGAGTTCAACATGTGAGAAGAGAAAGTACAGGGTATTTTGGGTTTCAACATGTGAGAAGTAGAAAGTACAGGTATTTGTGTTCCACATGTAAGAAGTAGAACGTACAGTATTTGAGTTCAACATGTAAGAAGTAGAAAAGTCCAGGTATTTGAGTTCAACATGTGAGAAGTAGAAAGTACAGGTATTTGGGTTCAACCATGTGAGAGAGTAGAAGTACAGGTATTTGTGTTCAACATGTAAGAAGTAGAAAGTACAGGTATTTGGGTTCAACATGTAAGAAGTAGAAAGTACAGGTATTTGAGTTCAACATGTAAGAAGTAGAAAGTACAGGTATTTGAGTTCAACATGTAAAGAAGTAGAAAGTACAGGTATTTGAGTTCAACATGTGAGAAGTAGGAAAGTACAGGTATTTGTGTTCAACATGTCAGAAGTAGAAAAGTACAGGTATTTGAGTTCAACATGTAAGAAGTAAGAAAGTACAGGTATTTGGGTTCAAACATGTAAGAAGTAGAAAGTACAGGTATTTGATGTTCAACATGTAAGAAGTAGAAAGTACAGGTATTTGTGTTCAACATGTAAGAAGTAGAAAGTACAGGTATTTGAGTTCAACATGTGAGAAGTAGAAAGTACAGGTATTTGTGTTCAACATGTAAGAAGTAGAAAGTACAGGTATTTGAGTTCAACATGTAAGAAGTAGAAAGTACAGGTATTTGGGTTCAACATGTAAGAGTTAGAAAGTACAGGTATTTGAGTTCAACATGTGAGAAGTAGAAAGTACAGGTATTTGGGTTCAACATGTAAGAAGTAGGAAAGTACAGGTATTTGTGTTCAACATGTAAGAAGTAGAAAGTACAGGTATTTGTGTTCAAAATGTAAGAAGTACAAAGTACAGGTATTTGTGTTCAACATGTAAGAAGTAGAAAGTACAGGTATTTGTGTTCAAAATGTAAGAAGTACAAAGTACAGGTATTTGAGTTCAACATGTGAGAAGTAGAAAGTACAGGTATTTGTGTTCAACATGTAAGAAGTAGAAAGTACAGGTATTTGTGTTCAACATGTAAGAAGTAGAAAGTACAGGTATTTGTGTTCAAAATGTAAGAAGTACAAAGTACAGGTATTTGTGTTCAACATGTAAGAAGTAGAAAGTACAGGTATTTGTGTTCAAAATGTAAGAAGTACAAAGTACAGGTATTTGAGTTCAACATGTGAGAAGTAGAAAGTACAGGTATTTGAGTTCAACATGTAAGAAGTAGAAAGTACAGGTATTTGAGTTCTACATGTAAGAAGTAGAAAGTACAGGTATTTGTGTTCAACATGTAAGAAGTACAAAGTACAGGTATTTGTGTTCAACATGTAAGAAGTAGAAAGTACAGGTATTTGTGTTCAACATGTAAGAAGTAGAAAGTACAGGTATTTGTGTTCAAAATGTAAGAAGTACAAAGTACAGGTATTTGAGTTCAACATGTGAGAAGTAGAAAGTACAGGTATTTGAGTTCAACATGTAAGAAGTAGAAAGTACAGGTATTTGAGTTCTACATGTAAGAAGTAGAAAGTACAGGTATTTGTGTCAACATGTAAGAAGTACAAAGTACAGGTATTTGTGTCAACATGTAAGAAGTAGAAAGTACAGGTATTTGAGTTCTACATGTAAGAAGTAGAAAGTACAGGTATTTGGGTTCAACATGTAAGAAGTAGAAAGTACAGGTATTTGAGTTCTACATGTAAGAAGTAGAAAGTACAGGTATTTGTGTTCAACATGTAAGAAGTACAAAGTACAGGTATTTGTGTTCAACATGTAAGAAGTACAAAGTACAGGTATTTGAGTTCTACATGTAAGAAGTAGAAAGTACAGGTATTTGAGTTCTACATGTAAGAAGTACAAAGTACAGGTATTTGTGTTCAACATGTAAGAAGTAGAAAGTACAGGTATTTGTGTTCAACATGTAAGAAGTAGAAAGTACAGGTATTTGTGTTCAACATGTAAGAAGTAGAAAGTACAGGTATTTGAGTTCTACATGTAAGAAGTACAAAGTACAGGTATTTGTGTTCAACATGTAAGAAGTAGAAAGTACAGGTATTTGGGTTCAACATGTAAGAAGTAGAAAGTACAGGTATTTGTGTTCAACATGTAAGAAGTAGAAAGTACAGGTATTTGAGTTCAACATGTAAGAAGTAGAAAGTACAGGTATTTGTGTTCAACATGTAAGAAGTAGAAAGTACAGGTATTTGTGTTCAAAGTAAAAAGTCGTCGTGGAGTAAAGTACTGATACCAGAAAAATGTACAGTAACGAAGTATTTGTACTTCCCACCTCTGGTTACTTTCCAGTTTCCCTCCTCACCTCTCTACACCTCCGGCTCAGAGCCTTGTCCTCGAGGACCTGCAGGGTCCGGATGTATTCGGGCGGCAGAAGGTGGTTGAAGGAACAAAAGACCCTGGCCCAGTTTGATGTAAATCCCCCCGTTTCTGGTGGCTCCTCTCACCATGCACTCTGCTGCCCTCTGGTGGCAGGCCGACATCGCAGAGACATACGATGTGCTGCTCTAACAGGGGGAAACAGAGGTAACACAGGACTGTACACACAATACAACTGACCACCTTTACGTTTCTTTAACCTCCAGCCGTCATCGTCACGGAGGAGCAGGACACACAGCCTGCCTAGGTGCAACATTCTAAAAATAGCTCACTGACGATTAGCGGGTTATCACGGTTTTGAACTTGCGACAGCCTGCATGTGATTTCAGTAAATGGGTCCGAGGGGTCAGACTTCCCAAACCAGGAGGCACGGGAAAGCGCCGGAAACAATAACGGCAACACACACACACACACACACACACACACACACACACACACACACACACACACACACACACACACACACACCACACACACAACACATCACACACACACACACACACACACCACACACACACACACACACACACACACACACACACACACACACCTACACAATACACACACACAACACACACACACACACACACACACACACACACACACACACACACACACACACACACACACCACACACACACACACACACACACACACACACACACACACACAACACACACACACACACACACACACACACACACACTTCTCCTTACTTCTGTGACACTGTACTTGTAAGCACTTGTCTTGTAACTCCTATATCACTAAATACAAACCTGTTTGTAACCACACACACACTCGTCTGTGTTGGATATGGTGTGTGTGTGTGTGTGTGTGTGTGTGTGTGTGTGTGTGTGTGTGGGCCATATGTGCACTAAACGCTGCTAATATTTAAATTATATAAGCCTTCCGTGCAATACGAGGGAAATCGTGCAATTTAATTTATTATTTATTTATGTACATATTCCCTATCATGTCTATCTTAAGTCCCATTTATTGTGTTTATTGTTTATAGTGTCTTGTTGTTGCGTGTTGGCACCTTGAGTTTATTGTAATTTCCTTGTACCTGTACAATGACAACATTAAAGATCTTTATCCTTTGGCCTCCATCTACTTGTCTTTCATCCTGTCTTTATAACTAATGCTGTTGATGTGATTTTAAGGGTGTGTTGAGCAATTACCTCATCTTGTCCCCTCAGAGACACGTTGGTCGTCCACCAGTAGTCCCCGGAGATAGAGAGTCCCACAGACAGAGATCTGAGGAAAACAGACCATACACATTATGTTGGTGTTGAATTTCTTGAGTCAAGGAAGAAAGGAAGTCATAAAAAAGGAAATATGAAACGCAGATAGTGAAACAATACTTCCGATATATGGGAAACATCAAATCTACAACTTTCAAACAACAATGTCTGGGAAATTAAGGAAAAAACAAAAAGCCTTGAAGAGAAATGACTTTTGAGGTGAGGGGTGAAAATGTATTAGACTCGGGTTATTAGTGTCGTAGCTTATTGGGGCTAAGCTTGACTGAAGTAATGATGAAAGTGATGTTTTCCAAACCTGCAGAAGCGAGTGATTCCTTGGATCAGGATCTTCGTCCTCCTCCTGTCTCGAGGCTCCGACGCAGCGTAGTGAACGCCCGCCGCCACAGGGACGCCCACAGAGAAACCCAGCAGAGTCTTCCAGATCAGACCTCTGCGCTTCACTTCCCTGAGAGCAGCAACACACACATTTACTGTTGGGAACATCCTGAACGTCCTCTTCCAACATCAGAGTCACATGATAAGGTGTCCCAACTGTAGCTGTGAACATGACAGGATGTGTGATTACCTAGAAGAGCATCAGGACTGTTTGAGGCATATGATAGCTCTGTGATTAACATGATGATTCAGCCTCTATGGAGAGAGACATCAAGCATGCTCATTTCTGACGTGGAGCTAATCTGAAGTAAACATTGAATACTGCTTTCTATTCCTCCATCTTGTGACTGTGTAACTCCCTCTCTTGGATATCAGCATGTGAAGGACACTGTTCAGGAACTAGTTGATGCTCTGTATGTGATGACTCCTTCCATTCTGGAGAGGATCACAGATACATGGATCCTGAGGTTGAAGCTCAAGCCGGGGACCAGTGGTTATTAACATTGTTAAATATTCAGAAAAAGTCGGAATTTTGAGATTTTTAGAAAAAGTCATAATTTTGATATTTTGAGAAAAAGTCATAATTTTGAGATTTTGAATAAAAGTCATGATTTTGAGAAAAATTCATGATTTTGAGATTTTGAGAAAAAGTCCTAATTTTGAGATTTTGAGAAAAAATCATCATTTTTGACATTTTGAGAAAAAGTCCAAATTTAGAGAAAAAATCATAATTTTGAAAAACATTCATGATTTTTAGAAAAAAGTCCGAATTTTGAGATTTTGAGAAAAAGTCAGAATTTTGAGAAAAAAGTCAGAATTTTGAGAGAAAACTCAGTATTTTGTTCATGGCAGGATGTATGATTACAAGAAGCGGCATTCCTCCATCTTGTGACTGTGTGACTCCCTCTCTTGGATATCAGCATGTGAAGGACACTGTTCAGGAACTAGTTGATGCTCTGTATGTGATGACTCCTTCCATTCTGGAGAGGATCACAGACACATGGATCCTGAGATTCAAGCTCAAGCCGGGGACCAGTGATTATTGACATTTTGAAGTATTCTGAAAAAGTCGGAATTTTGATATTTTGAGAAAAAGTCCTAATTTTGATATTTTGAGAAAAAGTCCTAATTTTGAGAAAAAGTCCTAATTTTGAGAAAAAGTTCTAATTTTGAGAAAAAGTTCTAATTTTGAGAAAAAATCCTAATTTTGAGAAAAAATCCTAATTTTGAGAAAAAGTCCTAATTTTGAGAAAAAGTTCTAATTTTGAGAAAAAGTCCTAATTTTGAGAAAAAGTTCTAATTTTGAGAAAAAATCCTAATTTTGAGAAAAAGTCCTAATTTTGAGATTTCCAGAAAAAAGCCAACATTTAGAGAACAAAATTTAGTATTGTGTTCATGACAGGATGTATGATAACAAGAAGCGCCATTCCTCCATCTTGTGACTGTGTAACTCCCTCTCTTGGATATCAGCATGTGAAGGACACTGTTCAGGAACTAGTTGATGCTCTGTATGTGATGACTACTTCCATTCTGGAGAGGATCACAGATACATGGATCCTGAGATCGAAGGTCAAGCCGGGGACGAGGGAGATTTTTCTAACGGCAACAACAGCATGGAAATGACAAGGATGAAGGGTTATTAGTGGTGACTGTGTAGATCCGTCAGCTGTCAGACAGACTCTCTTTAAGGGTAGACTGAATACTTTTTGGATAAGCTCAGAGATGGCAAAAGTACATACATCCTTTCCTCAAGTAGAAGTACAGATACTCGTGTTTAAAAATACTCTGGTAAAAGTAGAAGTACTGACTAAACTTCTTTACTCAAGTAAAAGTAAAGAGGCTTGGAAATGTACTTTTTAGCTGTACACACTGTACAGTTGATACTGGGAGCTGAGATCTGGTACCTGATCGAACTGAAGGATCTGGTGTTTTGGAGCGAGGCGATGAGAGGAGGAGGTCTTCGGAGCAGAGCCATGTGACGCAGACACACCCTCAACTACAGAGACAGAAACACAGCATGTATGAGAATCACTTCTGCAGCTACATGAGCTATAAATAAACCAAACCCTGCCTTTGTGTGTGCGATCATTTGTTCTCCTCTATACATCATGTGGCATTGTTGGAGGAGACTTAATCATTCTACACTAGCTGCTGCACACATGACAATGAAGCCTTGAATCTGGATCTTGAATCTTGGCCAAGGTGCGGTAAAAACCGGTTGGTTTTCAGTGATTTATGGTGAACTACAGCTCAGAAGGGTTCACAGAGTTGTATTGGGTTTGTTGGTGCATGTTAATGGTCTGAAAAGACTCAAATCCCTGTGTGACACTTTCTAAGTTGTAAAGCACAGGGTTAGGCTTATTGTGACTGACAAACAATCCAAACATGCATTAATATTCAGTTTGAAATGATGAGAAAAAGGAGCCACATTGGCACGATTGAGAAGCAGGAATTCAGGCAAAAATATTTAATGATTGTTCAGTTTTCTTTTATCTAAGGGACATTGATTCCGTTAACTTTTTTTTTCTTCTAAACCCCGGTCCTTTGGCCTTGCTGGACATTGATAATAGAGCTGCAATAAACGCAAGCAATCGATTAGTCCATAAAAAGAAATGCCAAATATTTAAAAAATGCACTTAATCAGGATTTCAATGCAGAAAAAGGCTCTGTTTCGCATCATATTCGGGGGTTTTGACTGACAAAACAAGACATTTGAAGACATGAGCTAGGACTAAGAACCAGAGATGGGTAATAAACACTATTTTCTGACATTTTATGGAACATATGCTTGATAAAAAAAGTAAGTGAAAAAAACTGACAAATACTGATCATTCTGAGAAGCCAAATGTCACAAGAACTGACTCTCGTGTGTGTGTGTGTGTGTGTGTGTGTGTGTGTGTGTGTGTGTGTGTGTGTGTGTGTGTGTGTGTGGTGTGTGTGTGTGTGTGTGTGTGTGTCTGGATCAAGGCCCTTTTGAACAGTCCTGGTACTGTTTGTTTTTGTTTGTCTGCCTCTGAGGGACAAAATGTCTCCAGTGCCGACGATTGGATGTTCAGATAGCGTGATGTCAGGGACCTGAGCGCAGGAATATCAAACAAACCCTCCGTCACTCAACTAAAGGGTTTTCCTAAGAAGAAAGAGCCTAATTAAGTGTGGATTTGTCTAATCTAATCCACACTTAATACGTATCAGGGACGGTTGCAGCACAACTTTCATTTGTCTCAATTACTTAGAGACTATTTGGTCAAGACAAACCACATTTTGATATATTTAACTCACATATTGTTAATTACCCCTACCAATGAACCCTTGGATACAGTCATTTGACAGGCTGTGTCCATGTGTAAAATGGGTATAATATGGGTGACGATAGGGGTGTACTGATGTGTAATTACAGTGTAATATGGGTGTCACATAGGTGTAATACTGGTGTATTAACTGTATAATTATATGTAATATATATATATATATATTAATATGATGTAATATGGTGTTGCATGTTTGCAATATGGATCTAATAACAGTGTAACATTGTTGTAATAACTGTGTGATATGGGTGCAATGTAGAAAACAGCAATCAATTAATGTTCCCAAATATTGAAATGTGATTGTCCATTTAAGGATTAAAGATAGTTACAGTACGTGTGGTCAACACTAGGGACGTGTGCAACAGATTTCACTCATTGACTTCTTGTCTAAATGAGCTTTGTATTTGCACGTGTTTATGTTCATTAATATCAGAGTTATGTTTACATAGAAACACATGTAACTGTCACCTAAAGAGCTACACAAGTACTCAGATCTAGTACTTGAGTAAAAGTAGAAGTATTCAGGTCTTGTACTTGAGTAAAAGTAGAAGTATTCAGGTCTTGTACTTGAGTAAAAGTAGAAGTACTGAGATATTGTACTTGAGTAAAAGTAGAAGTACTCAGATCTTGTACTTGAGTAAAAGTAGAAGTACTGAGATATTGTACTTGTGTAAAAGTAGAAGTACTCAGATCTTGTACTTGAGTAAATGTAGAAGTACTCAGATCTTGTACTTGAGTAAAAGTAGAAGTATTCAGGTCTTGTACTTGAGTAAAAGTAGAAGTACTGAGATCTAGTACTTGAGTAAAAGTAGAAGTATTCAGGTCTTGTACTTGAGTAAAAGTAGAAGTACTCAGGTCTTGTACTTGAGTAAAAGTAGAAGTACTCAGATCTTGTACTTGAGTAAAAGTAGAAGTACTCAGATCTTGTACTTGAGTAAAAGTAGAAGTATTCAGGTCTTGTACTTGAGTAAAAGTAGAAGTACTCAGGTCTTGTACTTGAGTAAAAGTAGAAGTACTCAGATCTTGTACTTGAGTAAAAGTAGAAGTACTCAGATCTTGTACTTGAGTAAATGTAGAAGTACTCAGATCTTGTACTTGAGTAAAAGTAGAAGTATTCAGGTCTTGTACTTGAGTAAAAGTAGAAGTACTGAGATATTGTACTTGAGTAAAAGTAGAAGTACTCAGGTCTTGTACTTGAGTAAAAGTAGAGGTACTGAGATATTGTACTTGAGTAAAAGTAGAAGGTACTCAGGTCTTGTACTTGAGTAAAAGTAGAAGTACTCAGGTCTTGTACTTGAGTAAAAGTAGAAGTACTGAGATATTGTACTTGAGTAAAAGTAGAAGTACTCAGATCTTGTACTTGAGTAAGAGTAGAAGAACTGAGATATTGTACTTGAGTAAATGTAGAAGTACTCAGATCTTGTACTTGAGTAAAAGTAGAAGTATTCAGGTCTTGTACTTGAGTAAAAGTAGAAGTACTGAGATATTGTACTTGAGTAAAAGTAGAAGTACTCAGGTCTTGTACTTGAGTAAAAGTAGAGGTACTGAGATATTGTACTTGAGTAAAAGTAGAAGTACTCAGGTCTTGTACTTGAGTAAAAGTAGAAGTACTCAGGTCTTGTACTTGAGTAAAAGTAGAAGTACTGAGATATTGTACTTGAGTAAATGTAGAAGTACTCAGATCTTGTACTTGAGTAAAAGTAGAAGTATTCAGGTCTTGTACTTGAGTAAAAGTAGAAGTACTGAGATATTGTACTTGAGTAAAAGTAGAAGTACTCAGGTCTTGTACTTGAGTAAAAGTAGAGGTACTGAGATATTGTACTTGAGTAAAAGTAGAAGTACTCAGGTCTTGTACTTGAGTAAAAGTAGAAGTACTCAGGTCTTGTACTTGAGTAAAAGTAGAAGTACTGAGATATTGTACTTGAGTAAAAGTAGAAGTACTCAGGTCTTGTACTTGAGTAAAAGTAGAAGTACTCAGGTCTTGTACTTGAGTAAAAGTAGAAGTACTGAGATATTGTACTTGAGTAAAAGTAGAAGTACTCAGATCCTGTACTTGAGTAAAAGTAGAAGTACTCAGGTCTTGTACTTGAGTAAAAGTAGAAGTACTGAGATATTGTACTTGAGTAAAAGTAGAAGTACTCAGGTCTTGTACTTGAGTAAAAGTAGAAGTACTGAGATATTGTACTTGAGTAAAAGTAGAAGTACTGAGATATTGTACTTGAGTAAAAGTAGAAGTACTCAGGTCTTGTACTTGAGTAAAAGTAGAGGTACTGAGATATTGTAGTTGAGTAAAAGTAGAAGTACTCAGATCTTGTACTTGAGTAAAAGTAGAAGTACTCAGATCTTGTACTTGAGTAAAAGTAGAAGTACTCAGATCTTGTACTTGAGTAAAAGCAGAAGTACCAGAGTGTAGGAATACTCTGTTACAGTAAAAGTCCTGCATTCAAAATGTTCCTCAAGTGAAAGTAGAAAGTATTCTCATTAAAATATAGTGAAAGTAGCGACAGTGAAAGTAGTCGTTGTGCAGATTGGTCCATTTCAGAATAATATATATGATATGTTTTATAATGATTGATCATGAAAGTGTTCTCAAAGCTGGTAAAGGTGCAGCTAGTTTGAAGGACTGTGTATACTGCAGGGTAGCTGGTGGATTTACTCCAGGTGGAACTAAAGTCTGATTTAAGAGTACAAAATTGTACTTATATACAGTTCTTAAATGAATCCCAGTGACTTCCCATCTCTCCACATGAATCCATTGGAGTGTTGGCTAATACGACCTGCTGATTATGTGTCTGCTGGTTAAGTAGCTAACTTGAGCTAAAGCTACTGTCAAACGGAGCACAACATGTATGAGAAATAATGTTTATTTACCCCTCGGCTGGTCTCCCCTGCCATTTCTCCTGGGAAGGTAAAATATCGTCAATTTCAGTGATGATTTAATGACCAAACTTGGACGTCCTTCCTGAGCGGAATGTAGCCGAACACTGGTGATAGTTCTAACCAATCTGCGGACAAAGAGTGGATGAGTGACAGAGAGAGCGAGATGGTGCACCCCCAACTACTTCTGCTTTCGCTTCAGTCTACTTCACAAGCCATAACATGTACTGTTTGTGGCCTCAAAGAAATAATAATGATTAAGTTTAAAAATGCATAGTTGAACAACATTTAGCAGATTATATACATATGCAAACAAAATTATATTAAATAACACAAATGTATATTTAATGTAACACTCTTAATGTAATTAATATCCTGCTTTACATTGTGTCTGAAGCCCTTCAATAGTGTTTTATTGTCAGAGTTTATAGATTTGTTATCCTCACGGTCTACATTAACAACAAATCCTAAACGTATACATATCCCTGATTTCTTATGAATCAATTGCAGTAGAAATCTTTTTTTAAATCCTCTGAATTGTAGTAAAGTAGAAGCATAAAACAGCATTCCTCGAGTAAAGTCAAAGTGCCTCTACATTGAACTGTACTGTACTGTATTTAAATTCATTCACTCAGTTATCGTGAACGAATCCCTGTAAAAACCTTCCATGACGGACGATCGGAGTTTTCAGATATCTGTCTTGTTGTTGCACTGCACTCTTTGTGACGTCATGAAACGTCACTGATCATACCAATGCCCTTGTCCTATAACGGCATAGTTGGTATGCATGTCTCCTCCTCCTCCTCCTCCTCCTCCTCCTCCCTCCTCCTCCTCCTCCTCCTCCTCCTCCTCCTCCTCCTCCTCCTCCTCCTCCTCCTCCCTCCTCCTCCTCCTCCTCCTTCAACTTAAATCTTAAAAGTGAATTATTTACACATTAAGGAAACAAATTACATTAAAATTATGTGACCTTGTGTTACCTATAAACTAAATGCAATAGTAAGTAGGTACACATACAATACATGGTGCAATACAGAAACACAGTAAGACGAACTACATCAATTTGTAAGATAGGAGCACAGATACTAGGTTGTTTTGTAAACTGTTATAAAAGGAATGAATGCACTTACGCAAACAAGCTTGCTACGATGCTAAATGAGCTATTAGTATGTATAAGTTACTCCATTTTACATCATGTAGTCTCTGTAGGCTCCAGGGTCCTCATGTCAACCCTAATGGAAAGTTGCAAAACAAGACAAAAAAACAAGTTAAGGGCTACAAAAAAAGGTTGGGTGGAGAATGGCATCATGATGAGATGTCTTTTTAATTTCTGTTTTTAATAAATTACCATTCATTTCAAATGTTTTTTGTGTGCGTAATATAAGTCGCATCACGTGCGTTTCTGTCAGAGTGAAGTAACTGCATTTAACCAGAGGGAAACAGGAAGTGGGGATTGGCCTTCAAAATAAAATATGTATATTTGCTCACAAAAAACACCAGACTGTAACTAACCAACAGGTTTTAATAAACTATATGGCCAGAGGTGAGAAGTAACTAAATACATTTAATCAAGCACTGTGCAATGTTGAGGTACTTGTACTTTACTTGAGTATTTCCATGTTGTGCTACTGTGTACTTGTACTCCACTACATGTATTTAATCCCTTTAGTTAATTCACAGATGTGGATGAATGATGGTAAATATAATCAGGTGTTAAATCAGACTTTAGTTCCACCTGGAGTAAATCCACCAGCTACCCTGCAGTATACAAAGTCCTTCAAACTCGCTGCACCTTTACCAGCTTTGAGAACACTTTCATGATCAATCATTATAAAACATATCATAGATATTATTCTGAAATGGACCAATCTGCACAACGACTACTTTCACTGTCGCTACTTTCACTATATTTTGATGAGAATACTTTCTACTTTCACTTGAGGAACATTTTGAATGCAGGACTTTTACTGTAACAGAGTATTCCTACACTCTGGTACTTCTACTTTTACTCAAGTACAAGATCTGAGTACTTCTACTTTTACTCAAGTACAAGATCTGAGTACTTCTACTTTTACTAAGTACAAGATCTGATTACTTCTACTTTTACTCAAGTACAAGATCTGAGTACTTCTACTTTTACTCAAGTACAAGATCTGAGTACTTCTACTTTACTCAAGTACAAGATCTGAGGTACTTCTACTTTTGCTCAAGTACAAGATCTGAGTACTTTTCCCACATCTGGAAATGCCATATCGATATCAATGATTGAATTTGAGATGTTAATATTTTAGAATTGTTTATTTCTACTCTTTTAATTTGTTAGTGCAATGCCTTGTTTTGTTTTATGCTGCTGGGACAACAAAAAATCCCAAATTGGGATTAATAAAGTACATTTTATCTTATTTTATAGAAATATATGTCATGTTTCAGTCTATTTTTTACAGATTAATAAAGTAAAACTATCTGAAGGCTGTTTTCCCAGTTTAAGCCAGTCCTGAGATCGGTGTTAAAAGTATAATATCTGAGCCACAGGACTGACTTTAAATAAGGTGTTTTTGACAGTGAGGGATTCAGAGATGGTAAAAGTACACACATCCTTTATTCAAGTAGAACCGTTGCTCATGTTTAAAAATACTCTGGTAAAAGTAGAAGTACTGACTACACTTCTTTACTCAAGTAAAAGTAAAGAAGTATGTGCTTTGAAATGTACTTAAAGGTGGGGTAGGTAATGTTGGAGAAACCAGAATTTGAAAATACACAGCCGGAAAAAATCTGCCACTTCCTTACAGAGCCCCTCCTCCAACACACACGAACGCGCACATGACCAATGAGGGCACGAGATAAGTTTGTGCACAGAGGGAAGGCTGACAGGCAGGTAGGCTATCCAGTTACTTTAGCCGGGCCGGATGATTGGTCGTGCTTTTTACAGCGCCACGGCTTCCACTGATGGATGTTAAGAGCATTCCATGGAATGTAACAAAAAGTGTATCTCGAGCCGGTTTCTCAAACTTACCTACTGTACCCCACCTTTAATGTAAAAGTACTCATAACTAGCAGCTGTTTTAAAGAGTACCTGACCTCCCTTTATATTAATAGAACAATAATGTCATGGTTAGCTAATGAATGTTTCCATGCTGAACAACGGCAACATGACAACGTTTCCATTGGTCCCTCTTCTTTAGAGAAGACCAGGAAATGATGGATACACGGATCGTGTTCAGATCAATAGGCACGCAATGACTCTAAAGAATAATGATCACGCATCAAACAACACATTCAGACTAAAGGAACCAGCTGTTTGGAAAATGATGAGAAGTAGAAAGTACAGGTATTTGAGTTCCACATGTGAGAAGTCGAAATGTACAGGTATTTGAGTTCAACATGTGAGAAGTAGAAAGTACAGGTATTGTGTTCAACATTGAATGAGAAGTAGAAAGTACAGGTATTGAGTTCACCATGTAAGAAGTAGAAGTACAGGTATTTGAGTTCAACATGTAAGAAGTTAGAAAGTACAGGTATTAGTGTTCAACATTAAGAAGTCGAAAGACAGGTATTAGTGTCAACATGTAAGAAGTAGAAAGTACAGGATGTTGAGTTCAACATGTAAGAAGTAGAAAGTCAGGTATTTGGGTTCAAAATGTAAGAAGTTAGAAAAGTATCAGGTATTTGAGTTTCAAGCATGTAGAAGTTAGGAAAGTACAGGGTATTGGAGTTCCCAACATGTAAGAAGTAGAAAGTACAGGTATTAGTGTTCAACATGTAAGAAGTAGAAGTACGGTATTTGAGTTCAACCTGTAAGAAGAAGTTAGAAAGTATCAGGTATTTGGGTTCAAAATGTAAGAAGTAGAAAGTACAGGTATTTGGGTTCAACATGTAAGAGTTCAACATGTAAGAAGTAGAAAGTACAGGTATTTGGGTTCAACATTGTGTAAGAAGTAGAAAGTACAGTGATTGGTTCAACAATGTACGAAGTAGAAAGTAACAGGTATTGTGAGTTAAAATAAATGTTCAGAAGTAGGAAACGTAACAGGTAGGGGCTATTTTGGGTGGTTCAAAATGTAAGAAGTCAAAGTAAAAAGTCGTCAGAAAAATAAGTACTGAGTATAAAGTGATTGATACCAGAAAAATGTACGTAACGAAGTATTTGTACTCCACTACTTCCTCCCACCTCTGGAGTGATTACACTACTTGGCGCTGTTTTTCTGCAGGTATTTTATTTTGAAAAGTGTTTCCATGCGGCTGTCTTTATTCCACCGGAAGTAGCAGTGACCCGTGTCGCTGCAGTGTTGCGCTTTCCTGTTTACGGGCGGGAAGAGCGAACTGACTGGAAGCTAGTACTCTGTTTAAAATCGGCCGCACATTTTCTCTTAAATTCTCCTCTTCATGCTGGTGCTTTTGCAGGATTTAATGGTGCATTGCGAGGACTTCTTCTAGCGGACCTTTGCAGAGAAAACGACAGGATTTGCTCCCTCTTTTTGGACCAGATGGAGGATCCTCCTGCAGATTCAGACCAGGGCCCCGTGGTGCAGGTGGCTGAGATCCGCTGGCCGCTTACAGCTCTCCCTCTTCGGCTACTGGAGTGGAAAGTGAAGCCTGGAACTCTGGTGAATGTGGACTCTGTGTTAGCCCTGTGTGCTCCTATAAGCCAGGATAAAGGCGCAGAAACAGCCAGGCTACCCGAGAAAAAGGTGAAAGCAGACCGAGCTGGAGTAGTGAAGGAGCTGTGCTGTCAACTGGGACAAGTCATTCCTCCAGGGTGAGTGTGTGTGCTGGGGTTTTAGTGCTACAAATTACAAATAGAGAGAGTATTTACACCGAATATAATCATGTGAGAAACTGAGCTCAGTCAAATGTAATTAAATATGACAAATACTATATTCAAAGTGGAGAGCTGTGCAGGTTTAATAGGTCAGAATCTGTTTTATTACCAAGTAGGTTTATGAATAATAATAGTATTATTTAGCATCTTTCAAAACATAGTTACAAAGTGCTTAAATACACTGAGAGCAAGTGGATTTAAAAAACATCTAAATATAAGAACACAAAGTAAAACACAAATATATGGAATAAGAATACTTGAAAAATGGTGCGTTCAAAGACACAAATTAAAAATAAGGCAATACGAGGAATTTGCTTTGGTATAAATTATAACAATAATAATAATAAGCGTTATTTATTTATATAGCACCTTTAAAAACATAGTTACAAAGTGCTTACATTCACAGAGAGCAAGTGGATTAATAAACAGTATTTACACATGAGAACACAGAGTAAAACACACAGAAAATAATACAAATACGTAGCAAATAATATAAAAATAGTACTATTATAAAAGGTATTCGAACAAGACTATTGTAGAAATTTAAAGATAATATTTACACAAAATCGTATTGTGTGAGAACAGTCAAATATAATAAAATATGACATTCAAAGTGGAGAACTGTGCAGGTTTAAAAATAGGTCACGTGGAGCAGAAATGCGCAACACGTGCAGGATTTACAATTTTAAAATCAACCAGATATTTGTTTACATGATGTGTATTAATGACAATGGGATGGATAATAGTCTTTTTCAGTGGGGCCTTGTCAATGAAGCCGGTAGCAGAAGCTAGCTGTTTGCTAACCGGCTCCATATGTTTGTAAAGACTACAGGAAACATGTCAGGCGTAGTTTAGTTAGCATTTTGCCTGCTAATCACTTCTCTCGCAGTGTAACGTAGGCTAGCTACATGCTAACACTGCTCATAAGTGCTCATAAGTAACAGTTAGCTTGTTTGCTAGCTGCACTCGAATAAACACAACAGCTCGTAGTTGTGTCAAGTCACTCAACGTAAACAAGCGCTTTTTGCCAATACTTTCAAAATAAAAGCGTGTTCTTTTAGAAAGTTTGTTTTCTGACATTATCAGCCGTTAAAATCAAGTGGGAAATAATAAACAGAATTTTAGCAACCATTACACGAATTATCTTTTCTCTGTTTAGCATATTTAGAATCACAGTAACAGACAACATATGTTCACGCTTTTACTTTGAAGGTGTACTAACTGCATTTGCTCGTAGTTGTGTCAATTCAGTCAAAACAAACAAGCGCTTACGGCCAACACCTTCAAAATAAAAGTCTGCTCTTTATGAAAATTGGTTTTCCGACATTATCTGCATTTAAAGTTATAGTGTAGATGAAAATAAATTGTTTACTGAATTTGAGCAAACATTTCATGAATTATTATTTCTCTGCTTGGTATATTTGAAATCACATTAACAGACAAACAATGTTTACGCTTTTATTTTGAAGGCGTAATCACTGAGTGTGTTATTTTGTTACGGTGACACAGTGAAATGTGTAAAAGCTGTAGTTGGACATGTACTATTCCACTGTCCCACTGAAATAATGAATGCTTGTACGCCTATTATAACAGGAAATACATTTTTGAGAAGATGTATACCCCACATTAATAAACATCCCCTAATATTTAAAGGTTCAACTGCCCTTAACGTAACAAAAAACTGACAAAAGGATGTCAAAACTTTTTTTTAAACTACCAGAGAACAGATGAAAAGGAGCAGCTTAAGGGCAATATTTGCTCAAATAAAGTAGCAAAACTATTAAACCGAGTCATTCAAAACCAAAGTAAACTGTGTCTTAATTACAAAAATGGCAAATGTACGACAAGCTTTTTATTTCTGTAAATACATATACATTTATTTGACTTGACTTACAACTCTCCCTATGTAAAACCCAGTCTTTCAAGGCAAACGTTAACAAATAGTTAAAGCTTCATAGTCAAATGCTTAAACATGTATCATCTCATAAACTTCATTTATACCAAGCTGTGCATGCCACAAAGCAAATGTTATTTAATGTGAATCCTGCTTAAAGAATGGAGCTATACACTATTACTGGTTTACGGAAAAGTCAGGATTTAACATGTTTTCTCTTTTTTTCAGGGGTGTCATCATCAGAATAGAAGAATGCAGCCATCCCATAGTAATGAAGGGTCTATGTGCCGAATGTGGCCAGGACCTGACTCAGTAAGACATGCAAACACACTCACACTTTAATACAACGAAACAGAAACATCAATCAATGTTTATTTATATAGCCAATTATCACAAATGTTAAATTTGTCTTAGTGGACTTCACAGTTTGTACAGAATATCAGTATGACAATACGACACCCTCTGTCCTTAGACCCTCTGTCCTTAGACCCACTGTCCTTAGACGCTCTGTCCTTAGACCCTCACATCGTACAAGGAAACACTTCCAGAGAAAACCCACAGTTTAAAGGGAACATGGGAGAAACCTCAGGGAGAGCAACAGAGGAGGGATCCCTCTCCCAGGACGGACAGACGTGCAATAGATGCCGTATGTAAATCGAAGAGATAATATATTTCACAGCGTAGGTAGACCAAATGTTAGGAAATGCATGTGTCTGTGATAAGAAGATGAATCCACGAGGATGTCAGCAATCCTGTGGGAGCCATCAGGGAAGTAGTATGATGAGAGTCTTGCAGTGACAGGTTCAGCCACGACTCGAAGTCCAGGACTCAGATCCAGAACTCAGGATAGAGGATCCAGGACACAGGAGTGGAGTGCACCAGCTGGGCGTAAGCTGGGCGTAACTCTACGTCCGACGTAGAACCGAAGGTTAAGACCAAACTAAAGTTATGACTAGTGCACCACTTAGACTTAAGCCCTGTATGCGTTGCGCCCGGGTGTAACTTTTACGCCTAGTACGGAGCAGGCGTAAATCGGAAAGACAGACTAGTATCCATAGTAACGTAAAACAGGCAAGAAGGATATTAACGATGGCAGGGCGTCTTGTTTACATGTTTAACAATGAAAGGGCATTAAGAAGAGTCTCAATTTCTCCTTCTCCAGCTCAATTTTTTCGTGTTCCGCTCTCAATTTGACGGTCTCCACCTCCACACGAACGATTTCTTTCTCCGTCAGTTCCCGCTGTAGCTCTGACAAATCCCTCTTTCTCTTTCGGGGTGTGGCCATTTGGGATTCCCCTTGAGTCATCGCTGACGCTGTGGGTGTGGGAATTCCCTCTTCTCTGCGGTCCTCTGAGTCTGTAAAATGGTAAAATGGCGTTGCTTGGCAACAATTACTGTTTCGCGTGTATTCACGTGGACGCGCATCTTAAGACCAGGCGCAGCTACGCCCGAGACTAGTCAGGCTTGGTGCACTCGGTGTGAATTCGAATCACTACGTCGGACGTAGCTAAGCCCGACGTTAGAATTAAGCCCTACTTTTTTACGCCCAGCTGGTGCACACCACTCCAGGACCGCAGCAACAGGATCAGCCACGACTCAGGATCCCGGCGTATATATAGACACCAAAAAGAGATTTGGGGGAAGCTGGGTTATTCGGAACATGAGAGTACAGACAGAGAAGGAAGAAGCAAGGTGTCCCCCGACAGTCTGAGCCTATGGCAGCTAAACTAACGTTTCTACGTACATGCACTCCGTTAGGATAGGTTAAGGGAAAAGATGTATGCGCCACATCTATACCATGAGCGCATTGCTCCTAAAAAGTGTTTTGACACTGACACCATTCAACAAGAAACATGTGTTTTAATGTTCCTGCTTATTGTTCGTATGATAAGCTCACTCTGCTTTGAGCTGATTACTAAACATCCCGACCGAAAACAATGTAGAAGTGGCAGTTCTACATCTGAGTATTTGTGCTGGATTTGTTATTATTTGATGCCATCAGGTGGCACCAGAGATCACACAGAGAGCTGAGCATCACTCGGGTCATACATCAAGTCCTCACCACAACGTGCAGCATTTATTGCAGATATGACTGGATTTAAAGAAACATAGTGCCGTTAAAAAGACAAGGACATCTACTGGCATCTCAGATAGAATGAGGAGATTCTTCTAGATAAAAAGTGTGATTTGAGAAGAAGGCATCAAACAGCAGGGAATCATTTTGTATACGATATACTTGAATGGTCAGATCAAGTCTGAAACGTGACTTGCATCACAGCAGCAGCTCCATGTGTAACATCAACAGACAGATATCAAGACACAACACATGAGAAACAACCATAACAGCTCAATCACTGAGAGACAACCTGCTCAACGAGCTTTTGATCTGGACTCAGCTCTGTATTCACTGTGAGGATTGACTGGAGCACAAAGGATGCTTCAGTCTGACTTTATTGAATCGCGGGGCCCTGTATCTAATCGGAGACATGCCATTTAAAAACATGTTTATATGTTAAAAGAAGAACAGATCCGTATAGTAGCGTATAACTGCCAAATCAGTCGCTCACTGTAGTGATTTTCTCCCTTAATTGTTGCTATTGTTCTCACTCATCAAGCACCCAAGACGTGCATAACTCCCACTCTTTCTCCTTTCCTTCTCAGGCTGCAGAGCACAAATGGGAAGCAGCACATTCCCATCTCCACGGCAACCGTGTCCATGGTGCACAGCGTCCCTGAGCTGATGGTCAGCTCCGAGGTGAGTCATGTGATGGAGACGCATGGGGAAATGTGCAGGTTTAATTAAAAATCCATATTACCCTTTTAAAAACGTGTGTGTGTATGTGTGTGTGTGTGTGTGTGTGTGTGTGTGTGTGTGTGTGTGTGTGTGTGTGTGGTGTGTGTGTGGTGTGTGGTGTGTGTGTGTGTGTGTGTGTGTGTGTGTGTGTGTGTGTGTGTGTGTGTGTGTGTTGTGTGTGTGTGTGTGTGTGTGTGTGTGTGTGTGGTGTGTGTGTGTGTGTGTGTGTGTGTGTGTGTGTGTGTGTGTGTGTGGTGTGTGTGTGTGTGGTGTGTGTGTGTGTGTGTGTGTGTGTGTGTGTGTGTGTGTGTGTGTGTGTGTGTGTGTGTGTGTGTGTGTGTGTGTGTGTGTGTGTGTGTGTGTGTGTGTGTGTGTGTGTGTGTGTGTGTGTGTGTGTGTGTGTGTGTGTGTGTGTGTGTGTGTGTGTGTGTGTGTGTGTGTGTGTGTGTGTGTGTAGTGATGTTAAAGTATGTACAGTATAATTTAGACCAGTGGTTCTCAACAGGCCTCGGGGCCCACTTTTTCCTTTGTCAATAGATCGCGACCCGAAATTTTGAACCACTCTATTCAACAAAAAAGCGTGCTGTAATATATACGCTTTTCAGCATACAATATTAATACAAGTGAAGTACAGTGCAAATATCCCTTATATCCCTTCACAGAACTAAAGTATGCTTTTAAAAAAGGTTTAATGAGATGATGGAATCAAAGCTGAACTATATAAAAAGGCACACATGCTGAAAACCCAACCCCAGCAGGGGGTCTGAGGGATTCTCCCCCAGGAGATTTTTAGAAATACTAACATAAACTATGCATTCTGGTACTCTGAGAAGAAAATAAATAAATCTATTACTACCCGATATATTAATGATATTTGATGCCATTGTTTGTTTTTCACTTTGTTCTGACATCTTGCTGCTCCTCACAGAGAGAGAGCAAAGAGGAGAGAGTCTGTGTGACTTACTTTAAATTGTGGGTAAGGGTAGATAGCTCCCATTGTTCTGTGACCTGTCAGTCATCAGACCGGGGGTCATATTTCATTATGTGTTCATTTTTATCTGAAGTTGTAACCATGGATGTATAAAGAAGAGTTCTACCGCTAAGTTATTCTCCGTGGGGACTTCCGGCAACAATCTTGATTCTGATTGGCCAGAAGAAAAAACATCAGCAAAGACGTTTTATTGAGAAGATGATCACTACGTGACAGAAGTTTTCAAAACCTATCATGGTCTCCGGTACTTCCAGTCCAACGCCGACTGCATGCACAGCGTTAGAAAATCGGGCATTAAAAATATAAGTTTGACTTTTTTCAAAAAATTAAATATATATATTTTTTTTTTACATTTTTTTACTTCACTCACACATCTGCGACCCACTCGAAACAGGTCTGCGACCCACTCGAAACAGGTCTGCGACCCACTCGAAACAGGTCTGCGACCCACTCGAAACAGGTCTGCGACCCACTCGAAACAAAGTGGGTCGCGACCCACCAGTTGAGAACCACTGATTTAGACACTAGGCAGAATAAATATGATACAATTTATTTATGTATTATTTTCTTCAACTTATATTGTATGTAAAAAAACACGAGTTTGTATCCGAGTATCTGTTAACTCGGTAAGGAAAAAGTATTTATAACAAAATCTGTACTATGTCGTGTCAAAGGATCATATAATCATTTAAAACAGATAGACTTATACTCTGGTTGCCTTTTACACATTTAAATTGTATTTTTAGTCTTGTATGTGTTTTAACAGAGACATATCTGGAGGGCGAAAGGTGGATTTGCAAATGGTTAAGGACGAGGGGGTTTTATGGTTTCATGGTGGAGATGTTTGGATAAGGGTGGGACCAGTTGGCTTTTCTACTATATAGTGAAATGCAAGCTGTGCTCTGGGTGCAGAACTTCTGTATCCTCTGAGGGTGAAGTAAATCTACATTTCAGATCGATTCCACTTGTATATTGACTTTCTTTATTACTTTATTAAATATTAACAAAAGACCAACTTTGTCCGTGAATCATTTATCAGTTTCTCTTAAGAATTTCCTCCACATACAGCAAACATAATACACCAAGGTCATTTCAAATAAAAAAAGTGGTGGTTGCTCCTGTTCTCCCGCTGATTCTCTGCCCCCCCCACCCCCCCCCCCCCCCCCACCCCACACACAGCAAGCAGAGCAGCTGGGCAGAGAGGACCAGCAGAGGCTGCACAGGAACAGGAAGCTGGTCCTGATGGTGGACCTGGACCAGACTTTGATCCACACCACGGAGCAGCACTGCCAGCGCATGTCCAACAAGGTAATATCTGTGTGAAGGAAACTTCTGAAGCATTGGAGACGAAACTCAGAGAGACACGGCCAGGGAGAGCAGGAACACTGATGGTTTATCTGGAGCTTCTGCCGGAGAATTCTACATAATGATAATGTCTACTTCTACTTGCAACATTCTCTTGCACTATTTTATTTCTATTCTGTTATTTCCTTCAATATTCTGTTGGTTTATTTTTGTTCTATGTCCTATATATATTCATGTTGCACTGTTGAAGGAGCCTAGGTCCAGAGGTCGCGTTAACCGACTATTTTCCGCCTATGATGTTTTTTTTAACAATGACGGAAAAATCTGAAAGCCGTCTGTAATTTTGACGGATTAGAACAAACTCGGAACTGCGCCAAAGTTTCCCCGCAGCGAGGCTCCGGTGTTATGCCGTGTTATGCATGCCCGCCAAAAAGGAAATGATACCGTTTCCAAACCTAACTGTGCCGTACAGATCATTGAAATGTCTGTGAGTTTTGGCTTTACAGCGAAAAAGTCTAGCGCAACCTCTGCCTAGGACTTAAGTTTTTCATTGCCATATCTTCACTGTAGCTACATGACAATAAAGCCTTGAATCTTCCTTCAGGGCATCCTCCACTTCCAGCTGGGCAGAGGAGAGCCGATGCTCCACACTCGACTTCGCCCGCACTGCAAGGCTTTCCTGGAGAAAATCGCCAAACTCTACGAGTTACACGTCTTTACGTTCGGGAGCCGCCTGTACGCACACACCATCGCTGGTAATTCACTCATTCCTCTCACACTTTACAGCACCTTTCTAGAGGTGGGAAGTAGCTGAGTACAAATACTTTGTTACTGTACTTAAGTACATTCTTCTGGTATCAGTACTTTACTCCACTACTTATTTTACTGACGACTTTTTACTTTCTACTTCTTACATGTTGAACTCAAATACTTGTACTTTCTACTTCTTACATGTTGAACCCAAATACTTGTCCTTTAGTCTGAATGTGTGTTTGATGCGTGATCATTATTCTTTAGAGTCATTGCGTGCCTATTGATTTGAACACGATCCGTGTATCCATCATTTCCTGGTCTTCTCTAAAGAAGAGGGACCAATGGAAACGTTGTCATGTTGCCGTTGTTCAGCATGGAAACATTCATTAGCTAACAATGACATTATTGTTCTATTAATATAAAGGGAGGTCAGGTACTCTTTAAAACAGCTGGTAGTTATGGGTACTTTTTACTGAAGTACATTTCAAAGCCTCTTTACTTTGACTTGAGTAAAGAAGTTTAGTCAGTACTTCTACTTTCACCAGAGTATGTTTAAACACGAGTATCTGTACTTCTACTTGAGTAAAGGATGTGTGGACTTTTGCCATGTCTGGAATCCACATCGTTTCATTGACATAACAACAGGGTTTTCAGCTTGTACTGCACATTTGTGTCCATAAGAGGGAGGTGTCTGCTTATATTTGTGTTTCAGCTCAGCTTATGCCGGCTATGTGTCATATAAAAGCAGCAGGGTGCTACATTATAAAATGCATGTGAAGCCAGTTAATGTTTTGCATTAATTACCTTCCAAATCCCCAGCCTAGTTTTAGTAGCATTTGGCTGCTGGGTGAGAGGATATTTATATGTATCCTTCTAGATAAATATATTGAGATTAAATTAGATGAATACTATTCCTAGCACCTGTTTTGCTTTGACCTTGGCCATTAAATCCATACAAAATATAGAACTTCAAGATTTTAACCCATTTGACAATAATGCACAATGGTTTGGTTTATTTGAAGCTAATCTGCATTCGTCTTAAACCACTTGCACTAAACCCGCTTTCGACTACAGATTAGATATACTATATTGATGCCAATTTGTGATTTCTTTGTCACAGCAGCATGTAAGGCATTGCAAATCTTATAATAATATTTAAAGAGTAAACAATATAAAAATGTATATGCACAATAAGTTAGACTACTCTACAATAGAATAACCTGCTAGTAAAGAAACTATATGTAATGGATATATACAACTTAATGTAGTTTGTGTTAGAGAATAATTCTGTCTTTACTCCTAAATATTTTAACATTTTCTGTGTGTTGACATTTACGATCAGCCCTGCTCCTTATCTCCCGTAAGGAATGTGATAATGCAGTCGTATGTTGATACTATACGTTTTATGGCTTGACCTAGCGGACATAGGGGGTTTTACGACTGTGAGAACGCTGGCTTTCTAAGCTCCACAGATGTGAGAGACATCTCCTGTGTCTGCAGATGTCTACGCCCATCCCCAATATGTGGGTTGACTCTCTGTAAACTAGTTAAAGGGTGTATCGAGATGCGAGGCTGATCAGAATTGACATGACAACCCACCCGTGCAGTCAGAACCTTTTGCTGCTGTGACTTGTGATATGAATTCTCCGGCCGTATCCTTGTAATAAACTATCATTGTTTGACATCAAAGCTCCAACTCTCCTCGTGTCTCTCTGAGTCCTGACTCTCCATTGCTGCAGAAGTGTCCCTTTTTAACAGGCTGGATTATATTGAAGTGCATGTAGTTTATGTTGTCATATTGGTATTCAGGGTGTGTCTTTCATCACGCCGTATTTAATAGAAGCAGCCTCACTGTTCGGCCTCCATATGATGAAAGTTTAATGCCTTCTGAATTGGATTTTTACAGTTTCTGTTTTGGTTAAAGGAGAGACACTACAGGGAAGGTCTCTATCCCCTGCCAAGGTTTAATCCATGTGTGTGTCTTAGAGTTCGTTGTTAGTGAGAGCCTGAGAGAGTTTGCAACGCTTGATTTAAGTAGTAAATAGTGGGAGAAAAGGTGGAGGAAAGGTTTTAACCCTAAGTAGTATCTGCAATATATACAGATAGTCCTGCACCTCTATCAAAACGACACGATTGATTGAAAAAGGGCGAATCAAAAATGTATGATCTACATTTCCTTGTACGATGTGAGGGTCTAAGGTCAGAGGGTGTCGTTTTCTCATACTGATATTCTGCACAAATTGTGCCGTTGTATTTGCTGTATAGTGTCCTTACTGTAAGGTAATTATTATATGTACAGCACTTTGGCTCGACCAACAATCCTTTAAGAAATGTGCGATATAAATAAAACCTGATTTGATAAAGGCAAGAAAATCTAAATCATTTTGAAATGTCAACGATTGATTTAAGGAGCAAATACTGGGAGAAAAGGAAATGTCTGAACCCGAAGCAGTTTCAGGGTGTTTTTTACAGGCAATATATAAGTCCTGCACCTCGATGGAAACGGCATAATCATGGCTAGAAGAAGCAAGCCAGAATAATGTCTTTAAAGAGAGAATATTTGTATCGATGTGCCGTAGAAAAGATGTGGAAATAAAACCGCATATTTGGTTTCCATATGCTGCTTTGAAATAAAGTGAAATACCTTCTGCGACCTTGCAGAGGAAGCTTCAAATATGCATCGTTTTTTTTAAATTATTCACATCCATCTTTAATCTTCCTTTTTTCTCTTTTAGGTTTTCTGGATCCCGAAAAGAAGCTTTTCTCTCATCGGATTCTTTCTAGAGACGAATGCATCGACCCGTTCTCCAAGACGGGGAATCTAAGGTGGGACATTTGAAGAAATCATTTGATTTTTTTTGGTGTGTTTTTACCGTTATTTAACTCTGTTTCGTTCTGAAGCATAAACGCACCCTTTGTATGTCTCATTTTGACTTCCTTACGAGGTCATGATGGTGGATTTGAACAAATCATTTCTTCTGGAAGCGTTTTTCTCGAAGGACAATCTGTCTATGTTGTCAGTTAAAGAGGCTCTATTATGCTTTTTGGGGCTTTCCCTTTCCTGTAGTCTGTGATATATGTTTATGTGCATGTAAATAATAATAATAATATATTAATTTGATATAGCGCTTTTCTGGACCCAAAGACGCTTTACATTTGGGAGGGGGGGTATATAAACAAAACAAAAAAAACAGAGACAAAGCCAAAAAGAAACAAAACACAACAGAAAAGCAGTCAGGATGAAGTTGATTAAGAGGGGGGGGGGCTTTACAGATAAAGAGTTGAAGAGGTGGGTTTTGAGGCGGGACTGGAACAGGGTGAGGGACTCAGACTCACGGAGGTCTTGGGGGAGTGAGTTCCAGAGCTTCGGGGCTGCCACAGAGAAGGCTCTGTCCCCGAAGCTCCGGAGTTTGGCCTTGGGGGTGGAAAGCAAACCGGCTGAGGTGGATCTGAGGGACCGGGGGTGGTTGGTAGAGGGTGAGGAGGTCAGTGAGGTAGGGGGGGGGCCAGATGGTGGAGGGCTTTATAAGTGAGGACCAGGAGTTTGTAATTGATGCGGTGTGTAACGGGGAGCCAGTGGAGTTCTTTGAGGACCGGGGTGATGTGATGCCATGATTTGGTGTGGGTGAGGAGTCTGGCGGCTGCGTTCTGGACACGCTGGAGTCTACTGAGGGAGGTGGAGCTGATGCCGTAGAGGAGTGAGTTGCAGTAGTCAAGGCGGGAGGAGATGAAGGCGTGAATGAGTCGCTCAGCTGCAGGGCGGGTGAGAGAGGGACGGAGTTTGGCAATATTGCGGAGGTAGAAAAATGAGATTTTGACAACATGACGGATGTGGGGCTCGAGGGAGAGGGTGGGGGTCAAATATCACGCCAAGGTTGCGTGCCTGGGTGGAGGGGGAAACAGGGGTGCCATCAATGGTGATTGTCAGGTTGGGGGTTTTGCTGAGGGTGGATTTTGATCCGATGAGAAGGAGTTCAGTTTTATTGCTGTTGAGTTTGAGGAAGTTGTGTTGCATCCATGATTTTAATGCAGTCAGACAGGATTCGATGTGGGTGAGGGGGGGGTTGTTGGGGGATTTGGTGCTGAGGTAAATCTGGTAAATCAGGTCTGCAAAGGCAAACAGGTCCTTCCAGAGGGAGTTTCAGACAGAGGGCACAGGCAGTATGAGAAAAATAAAGAGCTTTCTGAACATTAAAGCAGAGAGACATGAAGTAGAGACACTACATACTGATATACACCTGAACATCAGCAGGAGAGGACTCTTTAAAGTAGAGACACTACATACTGATATACACCTGAACATCAGCAGGAGAGGACTCTTTAAAGTAGAGACACTACATACTGATATACACCTGAACATCAGCAGGAGAGGACTCTTTAAAGTAGAGACACTACATACTGATATACACCTGAACATCAGCAGGAGAGGACTCTTTAAAGTAGAGACACTACATACTGATATACACCTGAACATCAGCAGGAGAGGACTCTTTAAAGTAGAGACACTACATACTGATATACACCTGATCATCAGCAGGAGAGGACTCTTTAAAGTAGAGACACTACATACTAGATATACACCTGAACATCAGCAGGAGAGGACTCTTTAAAGTAGAGACACTACATACTGATATACACCTGAACATCAGCAGGAGAGGACTCTTTAAAGTAGAGACACTACATACTGATATACACCTGAACATCAGCAGGAGAGGACTCTTTAAAGTAGAGACACTGCATACTGATATACACCTGAACATCAGCAGGAGAGGACTCTTTAAAGTAGAGACACTACATACTGATACACTGAACATCAGCAGGAGAGGACTCTTTAAAGTAGAGACTACTACACCTGAACATCAGCAGGAGAGGACTCTTTAAAGTAGAGACACTGCATACTGATATACACCTGAACATCAGCAGGAGAGGACTCTTTAAAGTAGAGACACTACATACTGATATACACCTGAACATCAGCAGGAGAGGACTCTTTAAAGTAGAGACACTACATACTGATATACACCTGAACATCAGCAGGAGAGGACTCTTTAAAGTAGAGACACTACATACTGATATGCACCTGAACATCAGCAGGAGAGGACTCTTTAAAGTAGAGACACTACATACTGATATACACCTGAACATCAGCAGGAGAGGACTCTTTAAAGTAGAGACACTACATACTGATATACACCTGAACATCAGCAGGAGAGGACTCTTTAAAGTAGAGACACTACATACTGATATACACCTGAACATCAGTAGGAGAGGACTCTTTAAAGTAGAGACACTACATACTGATATACACCTGAACATCAGCAGGAGAGGACTCTTTAAAGTAGAGACACTACATACTGATATACACCTGCACATCAGCAGGAGAGGACTCTTTAAAGTAGAGACACTACATACTGATATACACCTGAACATCAGCAGGAGAGGACTCTTTAAAGTAGAGCCACTACATACTGATACACACCTGAACATCAGCAGGAGAGGACTCTTTAAAGTAGAGACACTACATACTGATATACACCTGAACATCAGCAGGAGAGGACTCTTTAAAGTAGAGCCACTACATACTGATATACACCTGAACATCAGCAGGAGAGGACTCTTTAAAGTAGAGACACTACATACTGATATACACCTGAACATCAGCAGGAGAGGACTCTTAAATGCAGACGAGCAGAAATGGTAGCATAATTGTTTTCTCTGTCCGCTTCACTTATAAGAAAGTAATTGATTTTAAATCTGTCACTCCCATTAGTTCAGCCACATACAGATAAATAACAACCTTGCAGTGATTATAAACTCAGCTGTTTTTGTGTTTTTGCTTCCTGACAGGAATCTTTTCCCCTGTGGCGACTCCATGGTCTCTATAATCGACGACCGAGAGGACGTGTGGAAGTTCGCCCCTAACCTCATCACTGTGAAGAAGTACATCTACTTCCAGGGAACGGGGGATATCAACGCTCCCCCCGGGTCCAGGGAGGCTCAATTGGCAAAGAAAGGTCAGTGTGGCGGCTCAATTTGCAGCTCAGTTTGAGTCGCCGAGAGGCTAAGCTCGGCTATGAGCTGCGACGCGGTTTCAAAGAGAGAGTCCATATTGAAGTAAGATAGTTTGACCATATTTAATAAACAAAATTAAAATGACAGCACAAGCTCACCCTCTGTCATCCGCAGTCGACATGAAACCGGTGACATATACACAAACCACACCCATGTGACAATTACCAGAAGTGCTCAACAAACAAATAAAAGCGACGTGAACAAATAATAATAGAGAAGCGAAGTCTCTGCCTTTCCGGTGGACCCCATGGGCAGATATACCGAAGATACGGTGGCCCTCAGAGGTCAATGTTATGCGATTATATAAAAAAAAAAGCAAATACAGGAAGACACTGCAAGAAGCTGATACTTATAGAGAGGCGAAGTCCCGCCCATCTACTTCCGACCCATGGGACCTTATTTCTGAAAAAGTATGTATTGAAGTCAATGGAGAAAAAACGTATCTTTCGATCCCGTTTGAATTGTGCCACGAATTCCACATATGATGTTTGTCAATCTTAAAAAATTATTTCCATGTAAAAAAAGTCACAGTTTGTCGTAAAACTGTTGAAATATAAGACTATGAAAAATACGCAACTAGAAAGACAACAAATCCCAGAGTCCCGGTCCCGCATGCTGGCTCTCAGGGAACCGACTAACTCCCCTTGTGTGTATGCAGTTCTCAACGTGCCCAGACTTGGAGTGATTTCCACCTCTTTTAATACTTTCCGCCTCGTTCTGAAAGAAAGAAGTGAAATGTTTCAACGTGACGGCCGTCTGGTGTGTTGGTGCGAGACGGGAGATGTAGTTCATTGAGCGGTTTCACACAAAACAAAGTGTTACTTCACAGTTTTACGACACATTTTAATTTTTTGACTTGCAGAATTATCTTTTAAATTGACAAACATCATATGTGTAATTCGTGGCACAATTCAAACGGGATCGAACGGTAATCTTTCTCTCCA